GATAGATAAATAACATGCAATAACAAAGCCAAGCGACAATGTGAAAAGTATTTGGTGCGTTTTGCATTGATATACTATAAAGTATTGCTCTGTGGATAACAAGTGTGAGTTGTGCTGTGAAAAGAATTCTGTTTGGTACTTCATTTTTACGGCTTTCAATGAGCATAACTTTTTATTTATTTTACCAAACGACCAATAACAACGACAACAGCAACAAACCCAATATAGTTATAATTTTGTTCGGGTCTTTGTGGGTCGGGGGGGTGAACATTTGGGAAAAAAAGAATTGTGTAGGAGATAAAAAGCAACACCAATACCAAACTGGCCATTAGTAAGGGTTGTGTGGAGCTTACTCTAGAGGGAAATTCCTCGTAAATATGGGCTGGCGTCATTTCAATCCTGTTCAAATCCGATTCCCACAACCTAATCTGTTGAAACAAAATTGATATATCACAGCCGGTATGTCACCATGTAGAATTCACTCTTTTTAAAAGCTGGAAGTATGGTGATATGAAAATGTCAATAACTCGTGAAAACAAACACATTGAGCGCCATGAAATTATGAAAGACTACCTGATCTGTAACATTCTCTGGAACAGATGGTATTCTCTCAGCAACCCTTGGATGTGCATTCTGTTGAAGGAAAGAAATTATCTGTGCAAATTCATACAAAGGATCAGAAGTCCGTGTTTTCTGTTTTTTTTGTGAGTTGCTTGCTCCATTATGAAATTTCATTGCATTAAATGCACTTGGTTGGGAAGATTTCAGAGGGGAGGGACAGGGAAGGGTGATACCGGATATATATTTATTTTTATTTATTCTTACACATATTGATGACTTGGAAAGAGAGACAAGACGAAAGTATAAACATACATTATTGAACTAAAAACAAATACAGTACTCCCATAGTCCCATACTTAAATTCCATTTTCTTTTCAAGGAGTTGTGAGGTTGCCATCTCCATTCCATTCCTAAACAAATTACCAACCACGCAATTTTTTTTCATAATTCTTAGCAACTGGGAAAATAATTTTAGGATAGGAGTAGTACTTTTCTAGTATAAGCACTAACAAATAGAGAAATAGAGAAAAATTAGTAAAGCCAAATCCAATGTTTCCCTCCCCTCCCAGTCAAACAAGCCCTTATAGAAGGGCTTAAGGCTTAAGCAGGTTACCCACAGGGTGCCACAGAAGCCAAAAACTGGTTGGTTTCTTTGGGTTCATATCCGTTTGGTAGAATACACACACACACACTATACACACACAAACACACACATATGACAGCATATAATTTTAGTAGTACATGGAAATGGAGAACATTGGTCCCCTAATAACTTGCCAACTAGACCACTACTTTTTAGTGGGAACAATATATGCTTTTTCTTAACACTACGTTTGGTTCAACTCATAGTTGTGAATGGCGAATGGTGAGTGGTGGGCGAGAGGCTCTTTTTCATGGCAAGAAGCGTGGCGAGCGGCGGGCGGTCAAATGGCGAACATTATATAAATAAATAATATATATATATATATATATATATATATATATATATATATATATATATATATATATATATATATATATATATATATATATATAGTTTAAGTCTAAACTTTTAGTCTTAACTTTGTATCAAACATAATTATCAAAGTAAAACATGAGTAATTGGTAAAACAAAATATAGTATGAGGAGAAGTGATTCGATCGACTACTAATAGGCCGGCTGAGGAGAAATTCGATCGACTATTGACGAGACGGCGAGACGCAGAGGCAGTTGAATTGATTGTATGAGGAGAAGTGATTCGATCGACTACTAATAGTTCAGCACGTTTTTAAAAAAAAGTCAAGCTTTTCAATTAAAAATCCTTGACCTACGTCTGGCGTAGATGGCGAACGCCTATCGCCACAAAGAATGGCGTCCATGGCGAACGCCATAGGCGAGAATGGCGTAAAACGCCACGCCAGGCCTGAGAATGGCGTCAAGTGGTCGCCACAAAGCCAAAGGCGAGAATGGCGAGTGCCATTAATAACTATGGGTTCGAGGAATTTGAGAGGGAAAGGAAAAGAAAACAAAAAGGAAAACATTTTTCTTGTTTGGTTAGAGAGGAAAAGAAAAGTGGAAGGAAAAGAAAAAGAGAAAGTGAAATATATTAAGAGGAAGGAAAACCAAATTCCTCTCATTTTGGTGAGGAAAATGAGGGAAAACCATTTCCTTTTCTTTTCCTACCAAATTCTTTGAACCAAACATAGTGAAGTGAAAAAATAACATGATGCAAAGATAAGAAAGGTATAACTTGCCTGTTCAGCACTTATGCCGTTTTGAAAAGCTTTGTATAAGCTTTCCTTTGTAATCGCACATACGATGAGATTTGGAAGTTGGTACTCCACTCTGTCCCCACCACAAATTGTCATTTAAACAAGAAGTTTCATTTCAGCTGAAAATATTAAAGACTTGAATAGACTATATGAAAATCAAATTGTAAAATATTCTCCAAAACATTGTGTCAGAAAACCTTTAAATTCCAGCAAGATGTAGCAGGGGCACAAGAATTGAAAGTGAAACCTTAGAGTACAAATTTGTACACTAGCCTCATATAGAGAGTACTAAAGTTTCCAAATGTGACTCAAGTTATGAGGTGCAATGAAATTTTGGCTAACAAAAAACACATCACATGGAAAAAGAGGTCCATGCACCTCACACTTATTTTATAAGATTATAGTCAGTACTTTATACCTAGTTTAAATCTAATTAGTGACTTCTTCAAGGCAAACCATATCATATACAGACTTAATAGAATAGCATACCTAGCAAAAAGGCGTAGGATCTCGCAGTGTAATTTTGATGAGGAATAAGCATACAGCCTGAAGTTTGTTTCCACAACAACAAATCCCTTTTGGCAAGAGAAAGAGAAGGCATTAGAAATGCATAAAAGAGAGTGTGTAATACATTATCATCAAGATATAAATAAATCCATAGTTAAATCATGATAACTTCAGATGTGTTGTTTCAGAGTTAATTAAACTAGTGGTTGAAAAGAATACCCATATGTTTATGTCATACCTGTTTCCTCGATGATGTATCTGACAAGCTAGTTGAGAGGTTGGTAGCAAATTTGGTAGGTATGAACCAGCTTTCTTTTCGTCCCTGATAAGGGAGGATAAGTATTGTTTGGATTAGAAAAATGTACTAGTGAACGACTATTGGAACTTAGTCTAAAATGCTAGCTAGCATTTACCTGCTGTAGCTTGACCAGTCCAAGATCAGAAAGGTCCCTAATTATACTTCGCTGGACATCTGTTAATGTGTTTGAGTTGTATGCCTAGAAGAGACAATTAAATCCAGTTACAACTGAGGGAGTGATGTCATAGACTTAGATTCAAACATTGTAGCACTATCAGCGAGTTTATTGCACCAATACCCCCAGTGGTTTGGTAAATGTGCATCGTTACCCCCCATGGTTTCAAACCTTACGCTGTTGCCCATCATGGTTCTGAAATTGTTACGTCAATGCCCCTTTGGACAAAAATACCCTTCAAATATTAAGTGAACAGCTCCGCTACCCCCTATGGTTTTGGAAATGGGCACCAATGCCCCTCTCCTTTTTCTTTATTGTTTTTCTTTTTTGTTTTTCTTTTTTGTTTTCTTTTTTTCATAAAGAGAAGAAAAATGTTTGTGTTTCAAATAATGAAAAGTTGTTTTTCAAAAGTCAACACTATATCTTTAAAAAAGTTTTTTTAAAAAAAAATATTTGTTTTAAATTTGAAATAAAAAATTTAACATATAGTTCATTTGTCAGTTTAAATATTTTAATTTTTTTCTAAAAAGTTTTTATTTTTATGAATATGTCGAGACCAAATCAATACTGAGTAAGGTCTCTTTAATATATAGTTAGTTATATATTAATAACATTTTTTGGACCGTTGCGCAAAAGATTTTCTTCATGACTTAATTTTCCCTATTTTATAAATGAAGTTTTTCATATTGTTTCTTTTTCTTCATTTTCTCTTCTATTCTTTTTTATTTTATTTTATTTTTAATTAAAAAAAGAAATGCTGTAAAATTAAATATTTTGAAAAAATGAAAAAGGGAAAAATAATAAATAAAGAAATCATAAAATGAACAGAAAATGAGAAAAGAGCTTTAATGTAAAATGAGAATGTTTTATTGAATTTTGTATCATGAAAATAAATCAATAAAGACCTCATTTGTACAAAAAATAAAAAAATTTAATTAAAGACAAACGAAGTGTACGTTAATTCTTTTTATTTAATTGATTTTTTATTGCAAACACAAAAAAAATTTATTATTAAAACATTATAAAAATAATTTTTGAAAATAATTAAAAAGTATTTATGAAAAACATAGAAGATAAAAGAAAAACAATAAAGAAAAAGAGAGGGGACGTTGGTGTCCATTTCCAAAACCATGGAGGGGTAGCGGAGCTAATTACCTAATATTTGAAGGATATTTTAGTCTAGAGGGGCACTTGTGTTGCAATATCAGAACCATGAGAGGCAACGGTGTAAGTTTTGAAACCATGGGGGTAACAGTGCACATTTACCAAAACACAGGGTATTGTTGCAATAAACTCCACTATCAGCTGTCGAAAAATATCCATGTATATAAACATCTAAGTAGTCTCTAACATATAACAAGTTAAGTAATAGTACGTATCACATTCTGAACAAAGCAACTTAAGGTACTCATATTCTTGTAATCTCGCATTACCTTTCATGATGTAACCCTATTGCCAAAAAGAATCTTACATTACGTGAACCAAACACCCCCTAGGCATTTAAACAGGAAGAAAGCTCGGATAAAATTAGAGTACCTCTCCAGCAACATGGAAACTCAGCTCCAAGAGAAATGATATGAGATCTGCAGAATCCACGCCACTCTCCTACATAAAACTGCATTTGAGGATGAATGAAAGAAAAATAACACAAAGAGCAGAAGCCAACAAAATTTATACCTCTGCATTGGTTATGTACTCCCTGATGATATACCAAAGTTGCGCATTAGTATCCATCAACTGTCACAGAAGTTGGTTAGTATAGATTTCAGTTATGATTTATGAACGAATAACAATCTAAATAATTTATCAGCTCATACCAAAAACTGAAATCCACTTTCAGTCAATTTTGGCGGCTCTCGGTCATCTCTGTCAAGAGGCAAGTGAAATACATGAGTATCTATTGCATGCATGAAATACAACAAACAGAAAGGATATACCTCTGAATCATAAGACCACGCTGGAAAACTTTCATCATAGAAGTCCTTATGTTTATTGTCTTGCCGGCCTCTGAGGAGCTCATAAGGTGCAGAAGAAAGCACTGATTTGCCACAGTTACAGGTCATTAAGCAGTAGGCAGAATCAGTTTCAAAGTTCAGTTTGGTTTTTAAAAAGGGGAATGAAATTTAAATTTCTATAGCCCAAGAAGCACGAATGCATGGACATGGCTGAACACGGGGATATGGAAAATTCAAATTTAAAAAAATGGCAAGCCAAGGACACAACATATAATAAAACAATACGTAACTAGCTGAAATTTAATAAATATTAATATGTTTTTAAAAAAATGTTGAAATTAAACATGTAAGCTAAACATTTACATGACTCACAACTAATGCATATTTAAATCATGTTCATTGCCAAAAGATCTAAATCATGGAACTTTGGGCAGCGAATGCAGCAATGCATCAAAGTATCTAATGGAAATAATCTCTCTGTTATTGACAAGGATAAAGTTGTGTACATCTCAACCCCCAAGACCCCAATGGACCTGGGATTATAGTGGGTTTGTTCTTGTTGTAGAAAAAGTAAATGTTATAAGAAATTGAGGTAAATTTTCTGTGTTCATTCATTAATATGTAAACAGTGGTTGTCCTGATTTTCTGGATCCCAAGGGAAGGTATCATTCTTTTTTGAAAAATATTAAAATATTACTGGAATAGATGTTCACATCATAGAAAACTAATACCCAGAGTATATGCGCTATAAATCTTTTGGAAGACTTAGATGTAACTTATATAGTATATACTACAAACTGGGCCTTCATATATTTGGACCGTCCCTGTATGTAAACATACAAAAAATGTGTTTTAATCATGTCCCACTTGTGCCCTAAATGTGTCACAGGTTGTTGAACATGTGTCCGGTCAAAGACACACCACAGGGCATGGAAGTGTGTCAGTGTATACTCGCACCAGTTGCGCATTCTGTAGTGTCTGATCTACATAGCTTATTGAAATATAACATGGCATCACAATTATCACGGTTTCTTCAAAACTTAAAAAAATGAGGCAAACAATACATGTAAACATACCTCCCACTGTTCTGAGGCATAGGCATCTAATTCCTCTAATGTAGGGAGCCTCACAGTGATATTTGAAGGCATTGATTCTCTTGGTAAAACTCCACTGCAGAGTTTCAGTTTCACGGGTTATGGTGCATTCTGTGCAGGTTTAAACATTGTAAAAGACCGGCTGCTTATTTCCCAGAAGTATACAGCACTTGTAAAATAAACTAATGTAATTGTTATATATTGTACAGAGTACTTCAATAAGATTAAACAGAGTACGACATAAGTTCCAGCATTCAAATGGGGGCAAGAAAAGTCCAGCTAGTATTTGTCAGTGACAAAATTTATGGGGCAAATTACAAGAATCATAAGAAATATGAATAATGCAAAAAAAACTGGAACATGGTTGGAAGAATTGCAAAATGATCCCTGAACATGAATACATGATTAGACCGCACATCGTTGGTTCTCTATAGTGCATGCACTTAAGAATATAGTTTCTCATAGTAAGTCATCATAGTTTAGTACAAATAGAAAAGATGAAATTCAGATCATTTCTATCACGATTTATGCACAAAGCAACGCAATACTCCGTACTAATGAAGTGTGCATACCCATGGACTATGTGCTTTCGAAGATTGAATTGGAACTTTGGATGTAATTGATAGGACTTATCCTTTTTCCTGCCAAGGTCAACTAGAGCATCAACACAGACAAACAAGTCACCTAATGCAATATCCAAAACTATGAGTCTCAGACATCATTATCATAATTATTATGATAAGTAAAAAGAGAGCAGCAGGGGAAAACAAAAGCAGGTGTTCTTATCAAGGTGGTGATATCCTAACCAGTTCCAAAAGTTAATTTTTATAGAATGCAAAAGACATGAGGAGGTGACAAAGTCCCTTCAAGAAGCTGTTTTTAACAGAGTCTGAGAACCGTAATGAGTTTTGTGTTTTCTCCCAATTGAAGTTCTTACTTAGAACAACGCCCGACCCTTAACCATGTGTATTCATCTTCCAGATTTCCCCGAATTTCTAAATTCTCTTCATGTAATCATGCAGACAATGCAGTCTTATTCAGCTTTACCAAAAAGAATAAAATTGAAGTTTTATGACTTGCTCTGCTGCTGATAATCTCTCTCATGTCATCCACTTTCAGGCGTTAAAGGTAAGCATAATAACAGGGACTTGATACATTAGTAGTTGTTTCACTGGGTTGTTGATTGATTTAACTAAAACGAAAGATGACCTAAAGATGTTGTCACTTGATAGCATATCATTAAAATACAGCTTCAGAAACACGGGATGATTAATAAATTTAAAGAGGTAACACTGATTCAACAAACCTAAAGCTCTAAAGAAGTTTTGGTTAAGTTACGACTCTTCAGTATCCGAAGTTCCCTCAAATTCTGATAAGGACAGCTGCAACTTTCAAATTTCGGCACAAGATACTGTCCCGGCCTAGAGACAGAAGCTCGAATTGGTCACTTTAGGACCTTTTTTTCTCATTTAAATTTACTTATCCTGAATAAGATATAGAGCTTCATTGTATTTACAACTAGTCCTAACCCTCAAGGCTAGCAAACACAACCTTCCTTTGTCATGAGTCAAAGTCTATTTTAAGAAAAAGGAAAAATGATTGGGTGCAAGCAAAGACATACGAATAAATAATTGTGCCACTAACCTGTCAAAATTTTCACTCAATAACCTCAACTGTACTAATCTATCAATGGCTACTTTATGCTTAGTGGATCCATCCGAAAGTACCCATTCCTCAAAAAACTTGGCTGAAATTGGCGAATCTATGTATAGCAGCTGTATCACATACTTCTTTGCCAAGGGAGGTAATGATCTGTCGCAGAAAACAAATATTACAAACAATCAACATTCCGCATATTGGACAGGAACGAAATTCAACTTTGGACAGGGAACAAAGAACCAGATGATTATACATGAGATGCAAAATCAATAGCAGGGTCGAGATTGAAATGGAAGATGAGAACCTGATAATGGCTTCACAGATGAATGGGTTATTATAGAGGTTATCAAGCTTCACTGCGGGCAGTGAAGCCACCATGTCCATGAAATTCTTCGCGACGATCCTCACCTGCGGCATTGCTCCTAATCGTATATCTCTATACTCCAACTACGTTAGGACTTAGGGTTTCCAAAAATCAAAATTCTTCTGGGAATCAGTTCCAAGATCTCTGTACAAAATGTGTAAGGAGCTCTCTTAATGATTGATTTGGCTAGAATTTCAATCCATTATTTGCTGCTAGATTAAAACAAAACTTAAAAAGAAGCAAAAAGGTCAATACTCATTGTATGGTCCTTAATATATAAAATAAGTACATGTATTGAGCCTTGTAAGAAGAGAGAGATCCGATTATGAGTTTATTAGAACTATGCGAGAAAGTTCACATTTCATGAACCTTAAATACCAAAATAACACAACTCTAAAAAGAAAGTTGTGATTACTTAAATGCTAAAATTCAGTTCCAAGGAATATGCTAAAAAAATGCCATTTTAGCTTCTCAATGGTGATTAAATATTCTACTTTTTCACCACCTCTCCAACCATATCATCAATTTTTCCCACTTCTTTAATATTTTATTACTTAAAATCAATATTTTACACCAAATTGTTTATTGCAAAGGCAGCCCCCAATTGTGTTTGGCACAGAACAAAGGAGATGACCGGCAGAATCATGAATCGTCCCTCGATTATGAATCAACAAGCCAAAAAAATTGGTTCAGGAATGAAAGGATGGGAGTAGTTATAAAACCCTAGCAGAGGAGCACATGAAGACGACGGGTGGGGATTGATTCAAAAATGGGAGCAGGAATACCTTAGCAGAGACAGAGGAAAGCATATGAAATTTGATGGAGGGAGTAGCGCAGGCTGTGCGTAGAGCTGAGGTTGAAGAAGCCGAGATCAGAAATACTCCGTAAAGGTTATGCGGGTTCGCTTAGATTTAGATGACGGGAAGCATGAAACAGAAGGCTCGCAGCACCGTATGTATTTTAGAAGCACCATTGCCCATTGGAACACTCTTTCATCAAGAAATCTATCCGAAGTAATATCTACATTTTAAAGAGATTGCATATCCCAAAAAATTTACGGGTAAAAGTGGTTTTTTAATAAAAATGGTGAGACATAATTTTTTCGAAAGTTGTAAATCTTTTTGGGACAGAGAGAGTATAATGCTAGTTGAAACGAAAAAATTTACATTGATATTTTATGACATTGTAAACATTCACACCAGCATTATATTCGCACAAAATATTGGTGTATGATTTTTGGGTACAAAGAGTATACTTTTAAATAGCTTTTTTTTGAAGCGTGTACAAATAGCTTTTTTTTGAAGGCCTGTACAAATAGCTTAATTCCTCTTTTTATCACTTACTCCCCTCATTCTATATTTTTCTGTTTTTAAAATATTTTTATTTATAAATTGGTATGAAATTTTAAAAAACAAAATTACATCTTTTAAAACAACGTAAAAATTTCTACAAAAATGAAAAGTGATAAGAATATTTTCTTTTATCAAATGGTCAATGAAAACATTCATACAAATATAGGTTACTGAAAAACTATAATAGTAAATAAAAGAAAAAATATGAGGCGAAGAGAGTACATTTTTTTAAAATGTTAAAATTAGCTTTTAAAAGTCCTTTGGAGATTGCTCTTAGACTTGTGTTTATACTTTATACATGAAATAGTGATTTAAAGATTAGAAAATAGTGCAGAATAATATGAACATGTGTGAGTGACATCTCATTTTATGTTAGCTCGACACAAAAGTAATCTTTCATCAGCCGATTATTAGCGACTACACGATCAAGATTGACATCTATTCGTCTTGTAATGACCATTTTGTCCTCAATAAAAATCTTAATAATTGGATCCAAGGTTTAAAGCACATTAAAAATAAATCATCATTGTCAAAAGAATCAGAAAATTTGAAACCTAACTTTTTTTTGACACAAAGGTATAAAGAAAATGGAGTGACAAATGTGAAGTGTATAGAATAAATATACTAATTTCCTCCCAAATTAAGCTGCTCATTCACCACTCAAGTGATCAAATTTTATCCACTTTTTTTTCACTACTTATTTAATAAAACTAATTAATGATGTCACGTCTTATTTCATAAAACTTTTAATATAGTTTATAAATATACAAGTTTATTTTTAAATTCTTTCCCAATTCACAGATAAATTATATTGAAAATAAATTTAGTCAAATACTCCGTACCATAAATTGAAATAAATGATTTAGATTAGGACGGAGGAACATAAAGATAGAGTGATAAAATGAAAATAGATATGAGAATGTGGGGTAAAAAAGAGTTAGAATGGTTACTAGTTAAATAGGTAAACAATGAAGAATAAAATTTTAAATTTCTGATCTAAAAGGAGAAGAAATTCTAACTATGCTCATGTCTCATCTTAATGATTCTAATCTGATTGAAATAAATTCTGATTTAGTCCGATTTAAATTTAGTTATATTTAAAATTATTTATGATCTGATATGGTCTAATCTGATCTGAATTGATTACAATAAGAAAAATTATTAAATAATAAGAATAAATTGAAGAAAATAGATTCTAAATGTCTATTAAGTACGCGAAATTGACGAGATTGGAATTAAATTAAAAATTGAAATGAAATTGATTTGGATGGAATTGAATTCTCCCATTCTAATTCATTTTGGCACTGCCAATTCCAAATCCACATTATTTTATGCTACCTAGCAGCAGAACTAAATCAATTCTCATTTCATAGTTTGAATTTCGTGTATCAATCGGAGCACTCTATAATAAATTGGAGAAGACATTATGCCTTCATTCAAAATTTTAATACAAGTAATTTTTGTTTACAATTTAGGAACATAAAATTAAACTACAACTCCGCCGCCACCGCCAACGGTCTCCATCGCCGACCGCCAATCGCTAGTTCCACCACCGCCAATGTCATTTCTCATCACGTATCATTGCTACTATTCAACCACTGTCATCATTGAGTCAACAATGTCATTCAAATGTCATACAATGTCACTTTAACTATCCGAAACCAAAATTATACCAAAACAATACCAAGTGTCAAGTGATCAAATCAAACCCAAATGCCAAAAGACTGCCAAAATGCATGTTACACTCTCTCTCGGTCCCTAAAAGATGGTCACAGTTTGACTTTTTGGGTCAAACCGTGGCACACTTTGACCACAAATTAAATATAATTTAAAACAATTAAATATTATATAAATTTTACATTACAACTAAATATACTTTTACCATAATTCACGGTCAAAGAGTACAACAATTTAACCAAAAAAGTCAAACTATGGCAATCTTTTAATCACGAAGGAAGTATCAATTATACCTATTTTGGTATCAACTCAATGTTCTAGTCATGCCTACATAAGTTTCTTTTTTACGAGTATAATTCAACACAATCACAAAATAATACGTAGTAATCCATAAACAAAATATTGAAGATTATGATGGCTAATGTATATGTTAGATAGAGAATTGGGGTGTTATAAAAAACATTATTTTTATAAATATAATTAAAGCCCTCCAATGCATTTCCTTTGAACAAAACATAGTGTTAAAGTCTTCCCCAAGTTTTCAAAAACAGGAACCTCTTCATCATATGTTGTTTTAAACTAAATAAAAGGAAATAGGATGAAAATTGAAAACATAACTTACCTTGCTCCCAAGTGTTCCAATCGAAGGCACACCCTTTCATGCAAAAAGAAAAATTTTATTTTATCTGATTACACAATTGTGAGCACAAAAAACTGAATTCACCGGGTGCACAAATATAGATTAAGCAAAGATTAGAAATTAGAGAATCGTTGACTTGAATTAGATGTCTAACGAAAATATGATGCTCCATCCATCCCATGATTATCTTCATGTTTGCGATTGAGTAGAACTTGTGTGGTGGTGGTTTATGTAGAAGAAATATAAATAATATGGACCACACAAACTTCTTCTTAAAAAGAAAGTGGAAGAAAAATTTGAGAATAATTTATGGGACGGATGGAGTAATAATCACCAATGATTTAGATCACAGTTTAGTTATTACCGAGTAATATTCTCAATTAGGCATCCCCTTCAGCTATGAAGATTCTCTCACAATGACCCTATAAGAAGCATGCACCTGTTTTTTGCACCCTGAGTGTTAACAATGCTACCGGTAATCCTGGCACGAGCAAACATCTTTTAAAAGATGGAATCTCTTCGAATCTCTCTTTGGCTAATACTAATGGCATACTTTTATCAGAGAATGGCAATCCCTGCAGACCATCATGTTCTTGACAATGCTGAGGACAGTACTAAAACCCGGGCTAAGAAGCAGTGGCAGGATTGTGTTCTTGAGAGGAGAGGGGGGGGGGGGTNCTTTTCTGGAATCATCTCGGAGTACCTTTGTTCGAACCCCCCCCCCTGGGGGTGCCCTAGGCCTACCATTACCGTTTCTCCCTGTTTCCGCCACTGCGAAGAAGCCTGACTAGAAGTAAGTGCCCACTTTTCATCATGATTTGCTTCCTTTCTATTTCCTTCAACCTCAATGTTATGAAGGACCCCACTCAGTTTCAGGCACGTACCCTTGTAGTCTAGCATCGGCCGTTAGGTCCTCCAATTTTGAATATATCTCATGTGCTAGGCTGTGAGCGCGATCCCCGACTTTAAAGGTGTGCACTTTACCATCCACCTCAATTGAGCTCCATCCAGGATCTTTCCCTACATCTTTACTCCTCATCGCAGTTCTTACTCTTTCGGCATCATCCCACCTCCCAATAGCAGCATAAGCATTTGAAAGAAAGACATAGCTCCCAGGATGCTTTGGGTCGAGCTCCAGGAGTTTACCTGCGGAAAATCTTGCCAGTTCGATGTTCTTATGAGCTCTGCATGCACAAAAGAGTGCCCCCCATATGATGTAGTCGGGATCCAATGGCATGCTCTCAATAAATCTCAAAGCCTCATCCAGCCGGCCTGCCCTGCCGTAGAGATCAACTATGGCAGCATAATGTTTCATGGTGGGGGCCACCGAGTAATTTGCTTTCATGCTATTGAAAATCTCAAGACCCTGATCGACCCTTCCAGCATGCGAACAAGCAGTTAGAACGGCTAGGAGAGCAACTTCATCTGGTACGGCTCCTGACAGGTTCATTGCTTCAAAGCACTGAATGGCCTTGTCAACACATCCATGTATTGCCCAGCCCCACAACATGGCACCCCAAGTGCGCACGTCCTTCACTTTTATGCCCTTGAACGCCCGGCAAGCAGACTCAATATCCCCAGATTTGGCATACATATCCAACAAAGCATTTCCAACGGCAGTGTTCATCTTGAACCTGTTGCGCAACATGTTATTGTGGATTTTTATCCCGGATTCAAGTGCCCCCATTTTCGCACAGGCAGAGAGAGCAGAAACGACAGTAAAATCATTCGGCTTGAATCCTTCGTCTACCATCTTAAAGAACAACTGCAGAGCCTTCTCATGAAGACCATTCTGCATCATTCCATGAATCACGGTTGTCCATGAAACCACATTCTTCTCCTCCATCCCATCAAAAAGCTCAAGTGCCTTGTCCAGTTCCCCACTTCTCATCAAGCCATCTATCAAGCAATTCCATGAAGCAATATTCCTCTGTGGCATTGCTTCAAACAACTCCACAGCCTTTCTCACCTTCCCACCCTTGCAACATCCATTAATTGCCACATTCCATAGCAGCACACTCTCAACCTTATTCCTCTCAAGACTTTCATCGAACAGCTGCATGGCAGAATCAAACGATCCAATTTTCACATACATGTCAACCAAAGAAACCCTCACAAATGAGTCACAATCAAGGCCCATTTTAAAAACCCCACAGTGAACGACAACCCCCAACTGTTTAGCACCAAAACCGATAACAGACTTCAAAACAAACGGAAGTGTAAGCCGATCAGGCCGCACACCAAGACTTAACATGAGCTTAAAATGCCTGATGGAGGTCTCAAAACATGAATTTTCACAAAGTCCCCTGATCAATGCATTAAAAACGAACAAGTTCCAATCACAAGATTGAAAAACTGAGAGGGCATAACTGACGGAGCCGCGCTGACAAGAGGCGGAGATAAGCTGGGTGGTGATTCTGGTATTGGCACTGTAGCGGAAATGGCGGATGACTTGGCCGTGGATGGCTTTGAGCTTGCGGGTGGATTCAGACGAGTGGATAAGAGAAATGAAATGGGTTTCACTTATATTTTGGAAATCATGGTGAAAAGAAATGGGATTTAGAGTTTGTTGAGTGGTAAACGCAGCAGTGGTTCTAGATGGGAAATAAGGTTTCTTCAAGTTTGTAATGGCTTTCATTGTGTGTTTATGAAAATTATATCTATTTCATTTTGGTAGTAGTGAGTCATGGATATTCCTTTGTTCCACATGACTGGTGGGCGTGATTGTGTTCTACTTTTTTACACCATCCTGAAACAAAGGACAAAACAAAATAAGAACAAATAATTAAATGCAAATGATAATAAGGTATTTTTCAATCTAGTGAATTAAATAAGCAACCACAAAAAAGAAAATTAAAGAAGAAAAAAGAAAATTGAAAAAAGATGCACGGGCAGAGTTAAAATGACAAGGTCATATCCAGATTTCCTAATATTAGATACACATAAAAAAATGAAATCACAAACTCACGGAGATAAACAAAAATATACCCGCAGTATAAGATAATCATGCAAATCTGTATAGAATAATCAACAACAACAGACCCAGTAAATTCCCAAAGCACTATCATTTCTTTATCTACATCGAGTAATCCATCTGGTAGCTCAAAACCTTCTACAGCTGAAAAGCCCAAGATTTACAAAAAAAACATTTAAGCTCTACTTTGCAAAAAACCAATAGGTATATATTGTTCGGGAACATCACAAGTAAGAATCATTTGCCATCCACACCAAACCAAACCTGCTAGGTTTCTAAACTCTCTCACTTCATTATCATTAGCTACCAGGCGTTCCAGCTTAAATTCTCATGATATGCCACTCCCCACTTAAGGTTATGTGTTATAAGTGGTAAAGAATTACAATATTTTCGATAAAACGCTCTAATGCTTAACTGAGGTTACAATAATTCTCAACCAAAATTTTGGATCGGCCCTTAAGGAAGCCACTCTTACAGTCCTACCTACTTATAATTTGATTCAGATCAACTGGACTTGCTTAATTCACTGAGATTAATTCCCTATAAAAATTACGATGAAATCATGAATAGCCAGGAAAAAACTAAAACACATAAGAGGATCAAGAAATCTGAAGAAAAAAGAAAAGAAGAAAAAAAAAACTTACCATAGTTGCAATCCGGTGAAGGAGCGAGGGGGCAGGCGTTGGGAGCTGCGGGTGAGGAAGACGAATTAGATGATGCTGGTGCAGCAGGGATCGTTGCCGAAGAGAAAAGGGATGTGTTTGGTTGGGAAGAATTTTTTTTAAGGAAAAATATGTGATAGAAAAATAATTTTTCAAAAAAATGATACCCCGAGTATACAAAATAGAAATCATCCTAAATAAAACTAAAACATAGAGAAAAGTATCAAAATAGGACTTTCATGTTTTTTCTTGGAATAAGACTTTACACTGTGATAATGTGACTTTGCATTGTGGTAATGTGGCAATGTACATGTGCAAATAATTATACTTTTTTGGTAATGTATATGACTACGTTTGGTAATGTAAGTCCTATTTCGGGAATAAAAACATGGAAGTCCTATTTTGGTATATTTTCAATGTTTTAGTCCTACTTTGGTCTTTCTCCCTATAAAAAAATGTTATGAGTGCAGTATTTAGTGTACCTTATTTTGAAGAGTTTGATGGTGTACAAATAAGTTATAGCTCTTGCAATACTCAAAATTGATTATGTTTCCTTAATAAAATTTAATTAAGTTACTTGTACATCAAAAATGTATCTCAAATTGTATATCATAGGTATGCACTTTCATTTCTTGCTAGTGTAATGTCAGTATGATGGTTCACACAAGTACAAAATATTAATGTAAAAATTTTAGAGCATACAAACATTTTCTGTCAAAATGAACCTTCAAAACGTTGGTACATACTTTTATTATATAATTTGTGGTGCACTCCTTAGTGTCCCCCTAGCGTGGTTGAAGAAAAATTTTTAAAAAATACTTGGAGTATATTTGTTGTACCCCAAGTGTCCCCTATGACATACTCCGTACTTTTTAGTACAAAAAGAGAACACATGTTATGTTTCCTAAAGTGTACACAAAAAGTATATAGTAACATTTCGATGATTCACACTGAACAATATGCTAGTACGATCAAAATACTTTACACTAGCATTTTGTGCATTTCTAAGCCCCACCTACCTACCAACGGACCCCACCATCCCTTGCCACTCGTCATCCTACGCCAAGTTATCGGGAGGCTAAAATAATGACAAAGAGGATTATTTTGAAATGGATGAAGTAACTCAAGAAGTAGGTAAAGATATTTAAATATTTTTTCTTTTGTGAAATTATACGATTTCATTTCAAAATCAATTGATTATGAGACGGGAATTCATATTCTTACACTCTTTCCTTATCAAAATAGATTACCATGTTACTTCGTACTATTCTGGTATTGTGATAATTTTTATTTATTTGTATGGTTTGTTATTATTTGATAAAATAAAATGTGCTCACTGATATTCTCATTCTCTGAACGTGAAAGAGAAAGATGTTCGAGTTTTAAAAAAATTACACTAATTTTTTAGTGGTATACCCGTTCTCACAGAAGACTTGACGATGTTGGAAACATAACCACTACATGGAAATGAGTGAAAATAAAGGCCTAAATAAAATAAAAGCTCAAACCCCAACAGGGGGATCATATGTTCAAACACGTCTGGCAATAATTTTTTGGGCTTAGACATATTAAAAATATATGAACAAATACTACTTTTAATAGAGTTATTAAGGTTCAAAAAATAAATAAAAGTTTGAGCCCAATCACACTGAGTACATCTGGCACTTGAGTCTTCAACACACGAAAAACAAAACTCTTGCCAGAGACACTCAATTCATTTAAAAGTCCTCAACTCGAGATGCCTTAAAATCATCTCCTCGAGACATCACAAAACATATTAGCAGCTCGTACTTACATCGCTAGGTTGGGGTGGCGCCCGTCGTAGATCTAACAATTGACTCGGTTCGTACTTACCAATTGTGCTAGTGCTACGCACTAACGTTGATCTAGTCGTAATAACAATTTGCCCCTTATTGAACAATGTGCTACTCATTGGGTTATACAGAGCATGAATGTGTAACCACCTTTTGTCTAATGATTTTATAGCAATATGTTATTACTATTATGCTAATTCCAACTCAAGATTAGACTAATTATCTTTGCTCAATCATCTGTGTTCATGTTTTCGAGATTCCGACCATAGTATGAAGTGATCCAATCATAATTCTTGAAAAAAAAAATTATGAAAAATAGAATTTCCAACTCCCAAAATTCACCTCTGCAAATCCAAACATTTACATGTGGCGGCAAGGGAAAAAAAATCTGAAGCTAAGAGCAAACTGATACCCTCTTAAGAGTAACCCATATATAGAAGCATCCTTAGTACTCCCTCCTCCCCACAAAAGCATTCCATATTTTACCTGTCACGGAGATTAAGAAAATTAAAATTACATGGTTATATGTGACGGAGAGGAGAGAAATAGTACGAACCACCAAAAAGATTTACGAAAATTGAAAGTGGGACCCCTTTTTTTGGACAACCGAAAAAAGGAAATATGGAACTTTTTTGTGTGGGACGGAGGAGTATAACAGACAGCAAAAAGACAAAACCTCTTGCAGGAACCACATTTCTGCTCTCTTTACCAGCAAAACATGAGAAGAATGGAACAGACTGTCACTGCCCAAGAAGCTTCCTTTTTTTGGAGGTGTTCATATATGGTCTCATGACCCATTCAGTTTGAGCTCCATCTTGATCCAAAGTTCCTAGCCCAATCTGTGGGGGTGGGGCGGGGGGAACGAACACCGCGACAATGAGTGGATGATACATAGAAAATTCACGCATCGCAAAACGAAATGTTAAGTGCATAGGTTTGATTTCATGATTTGAATATGGACTTGCAACCTTTTAGAAGCACTACTTTTATCAGATTGGTTTTTCTTTTCTTTTTTTTAAGAATTTCAATAGTATAATAGGGAGTAGTTAGTTAGTTACCTTATGAAGCTGGAGTTCAAATCGAGGGCCAATCTCTTTCAGATCAACTGGTTTGGGACCTCCACATTTCTTATAGGTATAGTGCCTGCAATTTTTCTGGCATAGTTCAGTACCCAATAACGACACGAAGCATACTAATGGGTTGGACTTAACCATCACAGATTTGTTTTTGGACATCTCCCAAAGGGTCTCATGCTAATGGATTGGATTGAACCATTTTAGTTTGATTCAATTTCTCTTGCTCCTCCAGTGTGGTACTAGTTTGTACCTGGCAGAGTTTACAATGTTTGAGACTTCGAGTAGTGTTATTTTCAATTCAATTCGTTTGAAATTTGTGGTGCAGAACTAAAAAAATAAAGTTTGTATATCTCAAAACTACAACAATTCTACATAATTAGAGGTGGCTTGAATATTTTATTCTATCAAATAATCAAAGAAAATATATTAGGTAATAAGGTATAGTTTGACGTTGTGCATAGTGAACAGGAATTTCATTTTGGAATGGGGTTTTTATTGAAGCTTATAAAAGGCCATAACTAGAGACTCTAACTATTATCTCAATAATTGGTTAATAAATGTTGACCACTCAGCTTAAACCCCACACACAGAGAATGCAAACTATTTCTCTTTCATAATATATTTTAATGCTTTTCTAAGATATTCATCATGTGCCATGGTGATGGATCTAGTACTGATTTTATTTAGACATGGAAAAATTAAACTGACCAGTTTCTTACCCAACACCAAACCCAAAAATACTAGTTAACAAGGGTTTTGTTAATTGAACCCGAAGACCAAACCCGGCCAAACCTGAATTCCACATGACCGACCCACTGAGGTAAGATTTTTTTTCAAAACCATATACTTAGTATGGAATATAATGTGATAGAAATCATGTTATAATGTTACTCCCACAATCATGTTATAATGTTACTCCCACTATCTCAAAAAAAACTTGATATTGCGATTTACAATGCTTCACTGAAATTATTTTCAATACAATTTTTATTAAAACTTGGTGTAGAAATAAAAAAATTATATATTTACAAAACTACATCAAAAGATCATTTTTGTACTCATATAAAAGAAGAAGTGAAATGTTTATATTATTATGTCAAATGATCAATGAATATAGATTAAGAAAAAGGGATATAATTTGACCCAGTGAATAGTAAACACAAAGATCTTTTTGGGACGGAAGGAGTATTATTTTTCTTTTTACTCCTTTTTAGGGTAAAAACTTATCTTTTCTAATGAGTTCTCAATGATATTATATTGCCTTCATACTTTAAAAAAATTATACAGTACATATTTAAATTTCTATTTTATTTATAATATTGTGGGATGTATCTATATACTCCGTATTAATTAAAAAATGCCAAAGAAAATATTATAATAGCTTTGGTTGACACATTTCAAATCCATTGGGTCAACTCAAACCCGATAACATTGGATCATGGATATGCATTTTCCAACCCAAATCCAAAATGCCCCGAACCCGACATGACCGAGCTATTTTACACCCTAGTTTGATCAATTACAGCATTAAGGCCTATATTAAGTTTAACAAGCTACAAGCCATTATCTGAAATGCAATCTGAGACATATCAGAATATATATAGAAAACCCAGTAGCTGATGAAATTGAAAAATTACACAACGTACCTGAATGAGATAAAATCTGAATTGTTATCAAATGCGATAATACGTTCCGTGCCAAGCTTTGGGACTGGAAACAGATGCTTTAGAATACTTACAGTTCTTTCACCAAGCTACAAAACGTCAAGAGATAGATGCAATCACATAGAGTGAAAAATCAATATAAAGAAAAAGAGCAAATTTGAATAATGTAAAAGTATCAAGAGGTTCAGCTAAAGAAGAAAAAAGAAATTATTGTCAAAGAAACAATTTTGTTTCTTCGCATTGCTAGCCTGAATGGATGCTAAACTAGCTTCAAAGAAATTATGGTCCTTAACTTTGATTTCTTTATTATTAGCCTTTGACTTTCAAAAACGTTTCCAATGGGACCTAACCAAATTCTTTTTTACTATATGAAATATTAGAAGATTATATAAATGAATAATACTCTATCCATCTCACAAAAAGAGTCATATTTCTTGAATGTACAGCTTTTTATTTTTGATTAGGTACAGCTAAAAGAGATCATCAAATATAATTAAACTTTTTAGGCATATTTTTTTAGTTAAATCATTTGATATGATGGAAAGATTCACTATTTTTGGCTTTGGGGTATGATAAAATAAAGCAAAATGGCTCATTAAACTATCTGCACTTCTTTTAATAGTAAAGTAACAGTTGGTAATTGCATTTCCGAAGCTCATTATGGGACATCAGGAAACAATGGCTCTATATTTTAAATATAGGGGTCAGGTTGCGTACATCCACCACCCCCCCCCACCCCCCACAATGGGTTGGAGCCTTTACGGCACTAGGGTAATGTTGTTTGTTTGTAAGTTAACATTTGACTCTTCTTATGGCACGAAATATATCTAGACAAACTCTTTTAATGGGATGGAGGGAGTATGTATTCCTTCACAAACATTTCTCAAAAAAGGAAAATGAAAGATTGACTTACAAGCATTGATCACTGTTATTGACTTCGAAATGTTGGAAGGGTAGCAAATCTGTTGCTAAGTGAGTTGGGGAAATCTGAGAGTCTAAAAATTTTCATGTATTGTCGGTGCATTTGAAGGAAGCAGATGGTGGAAGCAAATCGCTAGATTAAAGGAAGAAGGGCTTCGGGCTCGGACGAGATCCCAGTGGAGTTTTGAAAGGTTGTGGCAGAGATTAATGCCACCATAGACGTGGATTCATGCCACGTCATTTTGGCGGAATGTCTCCTCAAAACAATCTCCTTACTCTCCGAGTAAGGGCAATGTATGTTTCCACTCACCCTTAGAGTATTCAATTGGATGAAATAGAATAAAATGTCCACAATATAAAGAAAATGTGGAAAAGTAAAAGAGTTCATGAATGTTAACTTGTTAAAGTTGAGAAAATTCTAAGCGAGGAAGCAAAAGTAAAAATGCAATATAATTGAAGGACTTATGGTGATCGAAGCTTTCTCTTCAACTCATTACCTTAGTAGAGAAGTTGTTAAATATCAAATGAGGGTAAGCCTGAGGCATTGTTCCCATAGCCTTTTTGTCCTTAATATCATGTCTTGTTACCTGCATCCAAGTAAAAACATCAGACCATCTTTAACACCTAACTGATCTTCACTACTTCAGAAAGAAAAAAAACAATGAGAATAAGAGTTCAAAAATGGTTTCAAGACTAAGACAACTCACCACGCTGAGTAATCTAAAGTGGGCTGTTGGACCGAAAGGTAAATGGCTGATGATAATCCCATCAGGCACTCCTCTAAACTCGTGAACTACAACAACATCCGTAAAATCATGAATACGGCAAGTTTCAATAATTTCCGGTATTCCCTGCATGAAGGAAATATATTCAGCACACTTGGAAATGGCGAAGGAAACTTAAAAAAAGAATATAAGTGAACAAGAGGAATATATCTGAAAGGTCTACCAAACTGACTGCCGCGATTCATTCGTATTGCATTAGGGAATACGATCTTCAATTCCTGTCACAATGACCAAATTAAAGAGAGTTGAGAATTCATAGGGTGCAAATAGTTGCTCTGAATGGGTAATGGTATGAATGCATGAAGCCCCAAAAAGAAGAGAACGAACATGGATTATAATTTATTCAGGAAAAACAACGGAGAGACAGCAATAAGGAACAACCTTTGCAAACCGAGTGAGAGGATCACTTGGGTTGAGTGAAGTGGTAATCAAAATTTTGGGATCCTTTTCAGCAGCACGAGCATATTCACAGTCAATAGTAGACATAGGCGCTGCAAGCCATATCGTAAATAAAAATAAAAAGCATTAACTCATCTTCAAATTCATATGATTGGATCAACTCTTCCAATCCAACCCAAAACCAATCCTCAAGTGAAACTTTCTCGAATTCCAATTCTTCAATTCAAATTCCAACACTCAACAATCATCATCTCAGGTCCTAAAAATGAACTTTTTCCCATTTTTTGAACATTACAAGCATGTCGATAAAACAAAACTTTTATAGCCTTCAGTTAAATAAGGAGACGTAATTTTGCTTTGTGCCCAAAACCAATTCCAAATACGTAGTACATGAAATTTGATAAACATACCAGCAGTGTGTTCATCATCTAGGTCGATTTGTTGACGAAGAGCTGCTTCTTCGTTTCTGAGTTCAGTTGGGATTGGCTTTCCCTCTGCCCACCAAAAGAAACCATTGAATAAGTGGACCTTCAAAAGAAACCAAATGAATCTGGCTTTCCCTAGTACCAGTTGGGATGTTTTTAATTATTATTATAATTATTAGAACCACAACCACAACCATAATCACAATCATGATAATAATAATACTAATAGTAATTGTAATAAGAATAATAATAATTATAAATCAATAAAAATAAAAATCATCTACTATAGCTACAACATTTAATTCTTGTGGAAATTTTGAAATATAGTAACAAAACAATCGAACCGGACCTTCAAGAGCATCTTTGATTTTGCGTTTCTTCTCATAAAGCAAACGCTCTTTTCCTTCCAGATTCTTCCTGTAAAGGTACTCTCCCAACATCCTTATGTTCCTCCTCGACATCGTCTTGATCTTTGCGTGGGAGGCAAAGGCGAACCTAGGAAGTGATAACTATGGCCAAGTCTGTAAATGTGGGACTGCAGTCTATGGTTTAAATCATAACTAATTTTAAATAATAATACCCCATAATAAGTACTTCATTCCTATTTATCTGTCCATTATGGAAATTTCATTTGTTCACAAATAACTGCCCATTACAAAATCCAATATAATAAAGTATAATGAAATGACTATTATCCCTTGAAAAATAGGAATGAAATACTAAATATAAATGCATTGGGACCAATCAAAACACCTTGGGAATGATTACTCCTTTGCACCACCGTCTCTAATTAACTCTTCTTCTCCCTCAACTTCTTTACTCTAAAAAGAATCCCTTCAGCCTCAATATGGGCATGCTAAAAGAAAATAATAGGGCATATTTGGTTCTACACTAAAAAATTAATGCATTCTTAATAAACGTGAATTAACTTTAAAAGACAGATAAATAGGAATGGAGGGGGTACATCTTTACATATCGGTGTAAGTGCGGGAGCAAAGTCTTGGGTGAAACCATATCCTATTTTCTTACATATTTTTCGTTAATCGTTTGTTCCAATAACGTCAAGTCGTCTCTTGTTTTTAGAGTTTTAAATGTTGTTTTTACTTTTTTTAATTTATAAATTTTGTTTTTTGATTTTTGTACCAATATTTTAATAAATTGAAATGAAAAAAAAACTTCAAACGAACAATGTAAACCGAAATGATATCGATTTTATGGTACGGAGAGAATAAAACACAACATAACTAATGGTTATATTATTGAAAATTGTGATAGCCATTCATAGACATTGTAAAGAGATATGTTTATATAGGGCTTTAAATAGGTATTTGAAAATTCACTTATTGTTCGCATCTGTATTCATATACATAGTATTTAAAAAATATCAGCATCCAATTAAAACATATATTATTCATATTCAATTAAGGACATCTGATTAGTAAACGGTTATAATCATACAAAAATAGAAATCTTGTATGTGATCAATTTAACATCCGATCTGTATGTATATTCGTTTGAGTAATTGCTTATCCGTTTAGTTATATCCATTATTCACGTCAAAATTTTAAAAACTCAGTGTTTAACCTTTATTTATTGCTTGTTTGCTTCCGTTTTAGAGTATAAGACATTTTTACATGTACAAACATACAAATATGTATATGATGTGTAATTTCTTGAGTCATATTTCATCAAACACAACTGTTAGAATATCAAAAAAAACTTTCATATGCTTACAATTACAAACTTGAGCTTTTGGTTAAATCAATTCCTTGATATGATATCAGAGCTTTGCTAACCAAGAGGTCACGTGTTCGAACCTCATAGTCAGCCATTTTTTAAAAAGAATCCTCCAACATGTAAAGGTGAAAACCAATTATGACAAAAACAAAAATTTCATGTAACTTGCAAAAGAAGTCCCCAACATGGTAAAGTAAAGGTGGAAATTTGAGTTAAATCAAATTCATGGTTTTACAAATTACGAATAAAAAAGTATACTTTGTTGAAATAGACACTTCGTACTTTTTCGAGAAAAGATCATAGTAAGATATTTCTTAAAACAGGTGCAAAAAACAAAAACCAATTTTTCAACTTACAATCAAACATGTTTTATTAAACGCAACAAAGAAGGAATGAAGGAGATTACCTGACTATTAGAGAGAGAGAGAGAGTGTGTGTGTGTGTCTATTTTGCGGTCGTGTCTTCTCTACGGTAAACCCCGCAGCTCTGTCTGTCCCTCCTGCGCCTTGGGTGCGTTAATGATTTGAAAAAATTAGGGCATGTTAGAATTTTTACAATATACTGTATAAATTACTCCGTATTACCCTAAAAAAATCCATAAATTATTTAAAAATGTATGATTATTTCAATCCTATATAGAATTGGATTGATTGTACCCCTCCGTCCTAAAACTTTCTTATGAGAGCACTATTCCAATCTCACAGGAATTTATATTTATTTATGTTTTTCATGGCCTATATGATAAAATAAAATATTCTTGTCACCACTTGTTTTGTTGAACTTTTGATGTAGTTTTTAAATATGTATGTTTTATTTTTTATTTCTATACCAATATTTAAATAAAATAGATTGAAAAAACTTGAGATTTTTCTTCGTTTTGCGCAACGAGAAGAAAGTTTTAGGACGGAGGGAGTAATATACTACGTATATTTTTCGTCTTAGTTTATTTACCCAGTTGGACTTTTTCGTATTCATCTCGACAAATTTTTATTATCAGTTATTCTTATTTCAAATTACTTCTTTTGTTCTAAAAGTATCGCCACACTTCAAAGAACGTGCAAACAAGTTTGTTTTACAGTTATTTTATTTACAAATGGGTATTGAAATAAAGCATACAAATTGTATTTTAAAAACAACATTAAAAGTTCTATAAAACAAAAGATGATAAAATATTTTATTTTATCATATGCCAAATGGTTAAAAAAAATGTGCAAACAAACGTTATTGAATGACCTGAAAAATAGTTATGATGATAACTTTGTGATGGAGAGAGTAAAACTTAACACAATAAGATACTCCGTAATTTTTTTTAAAGTTCCCTGCAAGTTAAATCTGATAAAATAATTTTATACCAAAGGATATTATAATTTTATTAATTTGCAATTCAAAGTTAATCTAATTTACTAAAAATATCAAATCGGATGAATACATTGAGACAAATGAAGTATTTTATTATCAGGATTTATTTAGATTCTTTTAGTCTATATATTTAGGAACCAAAAGGTCGAATGTAATGCCCCAAACTTGTTAGAACATCTTTGGTGACGGTTGTTTAAGAGAGTTCATAGCTAATGAATAATTATTCCCCTAAGCAACTTCTTTGATAAATGAAACAATAGTGCTCCACATGAGTTCCACACCATTTTTTTTAACTCAAACAATTTCATTGAGCACTTTGCATTAAAAATGCTCTTATACTCTCTATCAGTTAATAATTGATACGGAGTATGAAGTATAATTAATTATTGATAAAGAATAATTGATTTATCAAATGAAATTGGTCAAGACATTGGTTTATAGTTTTGCATGTCGAATTAGTGGATCGAAGATTTCTTAGAGCATCTTTAATAGTGAGTGCTTAATGGGTTGCTTTGCTTAAGCAATTGAAACTTACAAAAGTAAATATTTACGGCAACCCAAAAAGATTTCTTAGCCCTAAATATTTACTTTGATCAATTAGTTGTTTTGCTTTGCTTAGAGGTGATCTTTTTGAGGTAATGTAACATTACAAAAGATGAAAATTCATCTTAAACGATTCAAGCATCAAACTAATCCAACATTACTGCGTTTAAGGTAGAGACAATCTCAAATTATAGAAACCAAAAGAAGATCGTCCCATCCTAGAATGAAACCATCATGTCCCATTGCTTCAACAAACCAAGAGTCTAATTACTACTCTAATCAATCAAACTCCGGTGGAGCCAAAGCCGCCGGAACCTCTAACAGTGGAATCAAGATCATCCACCTCCTCCACCTCCGGCACTGCAATCTTCTCAATGATCAGCTGCGCAATCCTGTCCCCTACCTTGACCTCGAAATCAACTTCAGAATGGTTAAACAATATCACCCCAACAGGTCCTCTGTAGTCCGCATCGATCACGCCCGCTCCCACATCTATTGAGTGCTTCCACGCCAACCCAGACCGCGGAGCTATTGTTACACAGAAATTGAATTTCCAGATTAATGATTTCAGAAATTCCATTATATTTTCTTGGAGAAATGTAAGCAGAAGAGATTTACCAATGCGAGCATATGTTCCGGGAGAAACAGCAATGCTGAGATCAGTGGGAACCAAGGCCTTTCCTCTAGCAGGAACCTTCGCATCCGCAGCACTGTAAAAACAAATTAAGAAACAACCAATTTGAGCAATGATGTTGCTATATCCACTTCTGTTTTGGCTAAAACCACACCAGTTATGATAAATTGACAACTTTACCATTAAAAATTCAAAGAAGGGAACTTAGATGCAAGCCTACTTTTAAGTGCAATATTGTCTATTAAACATAAACAGAGTGGATTTGGCCAAAATGAGTGTGGAAATAGCACTACTCTTTGAGCAATTTAGATACAAATGGGCAGCAGAGTTACATCGGGCTGGAAAACCCGGAATAACGAACCTGGAGAGATCGTAGCCTGCAGAGAGGGGTGAGCCCCGGGAGGGCAAGACAGCCTTCTCTGAGAGCTTCTTGACCCGGAAATAAGGAGCTTCAGAAACAGTGCCTTTTTGGTGATGGTCAAGCTTAGGGATCTTAGGCATTGGTTCAGAAATTTCAAGAGAGGCAGAAACCAGGTTTTCGGCAGCCATTGTAGATTTGTTCTCTATCTACGAGATGGGAAGGATAGCAATTTCACAACATTTTTTGACAAGTATCGAACTATGAAAACAACAACTTGGAAAAAATGGTATAGAACAATTTTTGGCAAATACACATCAAAATTACATACAAAATAGAAAACATTTAAAAAAGCACATGAGAAAATAACATCCCCCTACTTAACATAATCACATTCTCACATGTGGCAAATGACAAATTCACACAAATAAATAACAATTAGTAAATCTGAAAACTAATTATCGAATAGAAATTATAAATTCTCAGAGTATAGAAGAATAAGAGATAGATTATATTTGCGGAGTATAATTTAACGGCAAAAAAACCTGGCGGAGTGGCGATATGGCGCGCAACAGGAGTGGCGATATGGCGCGCAACAGCAGTGGCGGCGCCGAGACTGAGCGGCGACAGGTACGGAGAGGCTGAACGGGAGAGGGTGGCGGCCGGAGGAGGTAGGCCGTCGGCGACACGGCGGTTGCGCGTGGCTCTAAGCTCTCGAGGGAGTGGAAACGTATTGCGGAAGACGGAAGGAACAGATTAGGGTTTATTTTAGGATCTTTTTAGATTACTCGCTCGTAAAAAAACAATGGCGCGCATTCGCGCCAATATTTTGATGAATCGAAAGCGCGCCTATATTTTGCCCGGTGACGGTCCGGTTTTTTTGCAATTCAAACCGTTTGGTATAATTAGGTTTTCTAATTCAAATTATTTGGTATCATGTCAATTAAAATCGTGACATCATACTAGACCAATTTCAAACCATTTCTATTTCTTTAAAGGTCTAAATATTTTTCTCCTTATTACTTCCTCCGTCCAATTTTATCTTGGGTGGCTCGAAAAGTGTACAAAGTGGTCAACTGCATACGATCTCTAAAATTCTAGAGTCCCATATATTTAAATTCATCATTAAATTTCAAACATAAGTATTCTAAAATAATAAAATAGAGCCCAAAATGTAAATTTCGGACCGGGCCTTTTTCATTTTTACATTCTTTCGAAGTCGGCCCTGCATTTTATATTGCCTGTTTTGAATTTGAGACATATTTAAGGAGGTGAAAAAATATTGCTGATTTTCCAGAAATGCCCTTACTTTTTTAGGGGGTGGCGATGAATGAGAAGAAATGGTGGAAACGAGTAACTTATTTTAAAGATAGCTTAGGCATTTTACCTCTAAAAGTTTATTATACTAAGAAACAGACAACTTATTTTGGGACGGACAAAAAAGGAAAACAGGCAATTTAAAATGAAACGGAGGGAACAATAAACAATAAAAAAAATTAAAAAATTAATACACTTTTTTTATGGATTCTTACTTAGCAGATGCACTATTTAGTTGTATGTTTTTGACAAAATATAATTAATGTTTATATAATATATATAGTTATAACAAATTAATTTTAAACACCTAAGATTTAGTGAAAGAAATTTTCGGTTCTTTTTTTTTTTTGAAAATTCATCCTCTACCATTTTGAGAACGGAACCGTTTAGTTCAAGATAAAGTTTAGTAGAACCCTTTGAAAACTCGTTTTTCGTTGCGGTACAATATTAGTTCAAGTGGAAAAAATATCAAGTTGATATTCTTGCGTACCCCCTAAATCTTATGACAATGCACTTCCAAAATGTGGGGTATATATTACCACCATTACACAAAATAAATTCATAAATATGTGTGAATTTCTAATTTTGCAGATATATATTACGATAGAAAAGATTTAATAGATTGATTATTAATAAATAGATATAATATGGTAGATCGAGTAATAATTAGTCAAATTAAATATGAAATTTTTATTGAAAGTGAAATATGTGTTATGGGAAGGGTGAAAAATGAAAATGTTTTGTAAAAATAAAGGGAGTGAAAATGAAAGCGAAAGCAAAAATTGTTTTGTGAAAACTAAGATTTTAACTCATTCATCATTGTCATTCTTGGAGGTAAATTTCACTTATGGTATACGAACTTTCATCATTATTTCACTTCGGTATATAAACTTTAATTTCTATCACAAAAGTACACGAACTTTCAGCATTCTATCACCGGTGGTCCAATAGGCGATTTCTAAGTCACCTTCAGGTCATTTGGAGTCAAATTATAATTTTATAAATTTAAATTTAATGATTTTAACCCATTTTCTTTTTTTCTCTTGGTTCTCCACCAAGAGAAAAAAAGAAAAGGGTCAAAAGGCGTGAATTTAGGTACTGTGGAAAATGATAGTGGGACACTGGCGTGCTATTATTTTTTTTGATCAAATGGGGAGGGGGGAAACCCCGAACTAACTCGTCTCCTCAGGAGAAGTAACTCTGCGAATTCTGGTAACGCCTATCTTGTCCCTTGTAATGATGTCCTCCATCCCAGGTGGGGGAACTTCATGCTCAATCCAATCAGCATGCTGAAAAGCTCCAATACTGGCGTGCTATTACTTGATCACAAGTATTGGTAACACAATATTAACAGATGCTCCCACAACCTCAAACCACATTACAAGAGTGTTCATTCATTCAAATGCTGGTAGATGACAATCCAATCTCAAATAAAATTAAATGGCAATAAACTAACCTTAAAGTCCTATCTATAAACCTTAACATAACACAGACAGACATCCTGCAAGAAATTTTTGAAAAAATAATAATAAAATTGGTCATAATAATAGTAAATGTAATTATAATAATTATAATACAGTTAGTGAGTTTAAGGTAGGTATAACTACCCTATGCAGAAGTTCCGGGAATGTCTTCAGTTGTTGGACAAGGTTGCTGAGGTCGTCTTGTTTCAAGAGCAAGGCAAGGTGGCGGCTTCTCTGGCAGTGATGATGGCCTTTTCGGACGGATCTTTTCAACTTCCGTTTCAGGTATATCAAACTGCAACAACCGTAAATATGACAACTGACTCGACTTAAACAACCTTACATCTTGAAAATAAAACTTTACTTTCTTTTGAAATAAACTTCACAATTCTCTATTTACTTTTAAGCGAATATGTGACTCACAACATTTCTATTTCTCTTAGAGAGATCTTGACCACAAAATTTTCACTTTTAAAGACTTTTATTTGACTCCATGATGTCAAACTATGAAGTTCTTTACACGACTGAGGGAGATGACTAGTTCAACTTTACGAATACATAAGTAAAAGCTAACTTGCCTTGTAACCACAGCCAGCTACACAAGCACGAAAGCATTCCTGTTTGCAAAAAAAAGATATATGTTGGCAATGAGGAAAAATGCACTAAAAATCTCAGAAATCTCCCCCATCATGTTATTACTTTTAAATTTGTATCGAATCTCAAATATATAGAATCACATCATAACACTGAATTCAAAGTTATCCTTGTCAAAAGATAATATTTCATTAAACGTAAGCATGGTAAAAGTAGAAAAAAACACCTCTGAATAGCCAACAGCACCGGGAGATCGATCAATGTAAGAACTCCACTTTTGATCCTTCAAAACTGGATCTTTATAGCAAATTTCATCACATTCTCCTTGGCCTGCAAAGAATGGTATGCAACCATATGTTCAAGATCATCTAATATAGTAATAACAAACAAACCCAATAGAATTCCACAAAAATAGGGCTCGGCAAGGGTGTCTTTATCCAGACTTTACCCCTTATTTACCGCTATAAATGCAACAGTCAAGTGATCTATCACATACATAAGTACTACTACATTGAATTAAAAAATGTTTGATCAAGGTAAAACATTTTGGCTTTGGTAAGGTACAACCGCTGTAAATCATTGATCCTATACATATTCTTTAAAAATACGGAGTATTAGTTAGTTTAGCTAAAATTATCACGTGTATGCGACTCTTTTTTTTGGAAAAAATGACATGAATTTGTTACATCAAATCAAACATTACTTACTTCAAAAGTGTTTTGTGAAACTTGGCAGATGTGCATAGTTTGTTGCTTATTATGGTGGTAGAATTTGAGGCTCATGAAAAGTTAAAACGATTTCATAACTTTGAATACTATTCCAAGTGTCAAGTGCATCACATAAATTTTACCTTTACAATCCATGTGCCTCTTTTTTGGCAAAAATGACACGAATTTGTTACATCAAATCAAACATTGCTTACTTTGAAAGTGTCGTGTGAAACTTGGCATAGGCGCACAGTTTGTTGCTTATTATAGTGATAGAATTTGAAGCTCGTGAAAAGTTAAAACAATTGCAAAACTTTGAATACTATTCAAGTGTCAAGTGCATCACACAATTTTTACTTTTATAATCCATGTGCCTCAGTTGAGAGTTAGGATCGCAGACACTCACTAATCAAGATGGAGAAGAAAATGAAATCGGATGAAGAGCTACATGGAGAATATGAAAGGCACATCAAGGAGCAAATAAAAGAGGATGCAATGAAAATGGTAGGCAGAACTTACATTCCTCCCAAGTGTCCCCATCAGAATCACACCCTTTCTTGCAGAATACTCTCCCTATAAAATGAATTTTAGCTTGTAATCAATCATTTGTGTGCACCAAAAACTAAAACGGCCGGTAGCATGAAATCATGAACAGAGATTTGACACAAGAAATGCATATACTTGACTTAGGTGCCTAATGAACAAATAAACATCAATCAACCCTTTCATTTGTTAAAACTTTTCAACCCAAAGTACTAGAGACTACTTCCAATAGTCTCATTGAAATTTGTGACCAATAATTATTTAAACTGAACAACCCAAAGATTCTAATGGAAATTTGTGGCCAATATGACTAGAGCAATAGTCCATACTCCATAGTCCATAGAGCAATACAAATTTGGACCGAGAGAGGACCCGACATTTTTTAGGCCAGTTTAATGCTGGAAAAAACATGAAAACCTCAATGGCATTGCTAAAGATGACATTTCCTTTGTCCGAATTTAGTTGTCCATTTTCAAATAACCTCAAATTTAAGAAATGGGGTGAAATAACCAAAAAAACAAATGAGTTCGCCCTTGCAACAATGCTAAAAATGTCCTTAAAAATTAAAAAAATTTATATTAAAAAGAAAAAAACTAAAAACATGTTGAGCACATGAGCGTTAAACAAAATCCATACATGTAAAATAATCACAAATTAGCATCTAAAAATGCATGGAAAATGATAGGGAAAAGAGGAGGGGAATTACAGGGGATTTGCATGAGATTGGCGTATTTGTGAGTGCATTGATTGTTACACGGCGGCGTCCATTGCTGCGGAATCATTTCTCTTTTCCAGTTTCTTCGGAAAATACAGAAAACCCTTTTACCCGTTTTGTCAATTCGGGCCGCTCTTGGGGACTCCTGTAGAAATGAAGAATGGGGACATGAGCGGATGACACGGGGAGGAACCCCAATCGGAAGGAAATGTCCAACCGTGAGAATCGGGCTGTGTTTTTTGTAGGGCTAATCTTTTTTTCTTTTCTTTTGGCGGTTTTGCTGAGCTGCCCAGCTTTGTGCAGGTAGAAAGACAAAATTAAGAATAAAATATTAAAAATATATCAAAATAAGATTTTCATATTTTTATTTTTGAAATAAGATTTAAAATGTATTTACATTACCAAACATGGTCATATACATTACTAAAAAGTATAGTAATGTGTACATGTACAGTGCCACATTACAACTGGGGGTGCATACAAATCAAATAAAATGTATTCGATTCGTGATTCGTATTCGCTATATTCGAATTCGAAACACTCGAATTCGAATCCGAATACAAATCATATTTTAGATTCGAATTATTTCTGAATTCCAATACAAATATTAATAGATTCGATTCGTGTATTATTCAAATTATTCGAATATTATAATTTATAAATAAATATATATATATATATATATATATTCTAATATATTAAATATTTGTGTACATATTTTAACATATTTTAATATATTAAATTTTTGTGTACATATGAATTTATATATATTCGAATATTATAATTTATAAATAAATTTATTTATATTCTAACATATTTTTACTACATTTTACATTATTATAAAATAATAATTTAATGTCTTTAAGAAATTTGTTTTAAGAAAAAAATTACTAATATTTTCGAATTCGAATATTCGAATACGAATTCAAATACGTCAAATATCTATCGAATCAAATACGAATGTTTTTTAAAATTCGAATTATATACGAATCCGAAATCAAATACATATCACTTTAATCGAATACGAATCGAATAGTGATATATTTGCTTCGATTCGATTCATATACACCCCTAATTACAACCATATTACCACAGTGCGAAGTTCTATTTCAGGGAAAAAAATATGAAAGTCTTACTTTGATATTTTTCTCTATGTTTTAGTTCTATTTGTGGTGATTTCTACTTTTGTGTACACCAAGATTGCAACAGACACATAAAGCATCAATTCTATGTATTTTGCACATAGAGTTGTTGTCTGTGACAAGTTTGGTATACACAAATTGAAGTACTCGTTTTTTTTCCAATTTTCTAGAACTGTATTTCCACACTTTTCTTTTTCTTATTCTAGTTAATACATGACTTGCAATATTTTCACTTCATTTTTTTACAACAAAAAATTTCACGAAAAAAGTTAAATGAGAAACAATGTTCGGGGAAATAAACACTCTAAAATTTACAATGATACTTGTTATATTGGTGATGGAGATTTGGGCGGAATGATTAGGCCCATCATTCAAAAACAAAAGCTCAGACTCGGTCCCAATGAGGATCCATGAGTCCAAAGAGGACGGAAATCTCTTCCAACAGGTTCTTGGTCAAGTAGGTCGACTTGTTCCCCAAGCTCGGCTAGGCTCAGTGACTCGAGGGAGCCCGTGATAGTCGTTTTCTTCTTCCTCGTTTGGATCACTTGTGTAGGATTAACCCGAATCTATCTAGACCTATTTGTTTCGTATTGAGGACACGTAAATGTCCGCCAACATTGATAATTCAACTAGTCTCATATGTAGGGCTGTAAACGGATAGCCGAAAATCCGATTACCGTCCGCATCCGTATCCGTTTGAAGAGGAAATATCCGCATCCGTTTTAAACAGATATTATCCGTATCCGATTAAGGATATCCGATTACTAAACGGATACGGATCTGGTAATTGTATATCTGATCCGTTTAAAATCCGATCCGAATATGCATCCGTTTAAATAACCGTTTATCCGAATATCCGATCCGTTATATATAGTTTTTTCTAATTTTTTATGTTTATAATTTGTTTCTCTATTGATATTTNATTCGATATCCGACAAAAATAAACGGATACGGATTTGGTAATGGCACATCCGATCCGATTAATATCCGTTTACACCCCTACTCATATGTGAAATTTAGATCAAGAGACTAAAGATCGAATCTCACCAGCGGTAGTGTGGGAGTAACCTCTCAAAAAATGAGGGGGTTCCTTGCGCACAGTGAACACTGATTCCAATCTCTATTATCAATTGAGTAACCATGATTTGTTTCCTCTCAAAATCACAACGGGTAAGGGGTGAGAGGGGCTCGAGGTATTGAGGTTAGCGGTTTTACCCTTTTTAGAACAAGAGGGTACGTAAATGTACATATAAGAGTAATGTATAATGACCCCACCATTCTTTGTTGTGACTTGTAAGGCATGGACTTTTTGAAAGAGTTCTTGTTGCATCATTTATCCTCGAAGTCTTCAAAAGTTACACGAATTTTTAATTCTAAAAATTATAATGATGGTCCATGAAATTTTTTAAATGTTGCATCTATATTCCATCTTCAATATATTTGGGAGCGCATTAATCAAACATTCATCAATATACATGTTGGGCTTTGATAAGATGTCATAGATTAATAAAAAGATTGACCCGATTGAAGAAGAACTTGAGTGACTGATGGTCGAGCTTCGAATTCGATTACCAGTGATTAAATTGAGAATAATTATGTGGGCTTCCAAGAGGTTTAAAATATTAAAATTAATGTTTGAGAAAATATATTACATAACTCACATGTGATATATGAGTTTAGACGGCTCTTTACTTGCACAGTTGCACTAGGCGAGCATGTGATTAACGTACTCCCAAATCTGAGATAGAGAAACCATCGATGCAACGTGTTTAAGAGTTTAGATTGACGCAATTTTCAAAGTTCAATGAGAATTCGTGCAATTCTTGAAAAGTGTAATGATAAGTGACGCAAAAGATCCATTTTTAAAGCCCTCATACACCTAACATTTCACTTTTCCATTGCCCTCCATGGACACTAGTTATATACGAGTTACATTTTACGGAGTAGTTTATAAGGTATTTGCAAAGAGTACTTCGTAATACTCTGTATAAAGTAATTATATTATCTCTTATTTTAGAAAATTTTTTATTTCGTTTTGCATAAAGTATAATTCATTTAGAGATAGATAAAGTATTTTTTTACGTTTTATTTAATATTAGCATTGTAAATATTTGTTTAACGATCAATATTAATTTTAAAACTATTAAAAAAATGTTTTTTATTAACATTATTTATTAACTATGCATATTAACTTGGGTGGGGTTCCAGTGCCACTGGAATCCGGTGCCACTAGTCGTGCCACCGGCATTTTGGAGCACCTCCGATGCTCCGTTTGCAAAATTGACGATTCCTACCCTCCTAACCCACCCTACCCCCGCCCCTGCACCCCCATCGTAATAGCCACACATTTTGTGGGGGGCTTACGGCGGGGTTGGGGTGGGGGTGCAGGGGCGGGGGTAGGGTGGGGGGTTTATGGGGTGGGTTAGGGGGTAGGAATCGTCAATTTTGCAAACGGAGCACTGGAGGTGCCCCAAAATGCCGGTGGCACCGGATTCCAGTGGCACTGGAACCGGGCGGTATTAACTTTAAAAAGACATTAAAATTAAACATTGCAATTAACAACCTTTTCAAAAGGCTAAAATGGAACAGGAAAAGTGTTACTAACCCATGACTTTGTGAACACAATATAATCCAATTTTTTTAACCATACCAAAACATGTGCCAATATTTTCTTTTCTTGGATAAGTTTGAGTCACCCAAACCGGACCTGTCTCTATTACCCAACAGCTTTTTATTTTTATATTAAAAGCCTCTTTGTGAATAACGAGTTTAGTGTTAGCGTTTTGAAAACGCTATTTACGTACAACGTTTAGCGTTAATATTTTCAAAGTAATCTGCATCATTAAAATTTTATCCAAAAAGCTAATGCTAATCTCTAACACGGTTTCCAAAGAGATATTAATTTTTTTTATAACCCCAACAGCTTTTTATAATCTGGCATACTTCTTGAGGTTCTTCGAAGCATCCATGGCGTTTTCCGGCACCGGCAAGTTCGCCAATACAGTCACCCTGGAAGACGAGACCAGAACTCTCTCCTCTTCCTCCGTAATCTTCCAAATCTTCACTTCCCAGACCTGAATCGTCCTCCCGACGTTCACCGGCGTGGCCTCGGCGACGACCAGGTCGCCGAGGCGGGCCGGCCTGAGATGGTGGATGCTGAGGTGGACTCCGGCCACACGCCGGAACCCGGACGCCATGTGCGCGCCGATGCTCGCCAGCGCCTCCGCTATCAGCGCCGATACGCCGCCGTGCAGCACCTTGAAGGGCTGGCAGCACCTCTGCGTCACCCGCAGCCGCCCCGTGACTTTCTCCGGCGACAGGTCGCCGATCTCGAAGCCTATTGTGTGGAGCGGCGCGTCCAGTATCTCCTCCTTCGACATCGATTCGGCCATTTCTCGCCGGGATTGAGAGCTCTTCGCTTCCGGGTTTGCCGGAGATCAGATGTTGAAGGCGATTGGGCAGCCGGATTTTAAAGGCGATTGGGCAGCCGAATTTTAAAGGCGATTTGGTGGAGGTGGGTAGAAAACGGGTCGGGTCGAAAACAAAGATTTAAACTTTGGTTCAATTGGTTGGACTGAGAGGCCTGTGGGAGTGAGCCCATGTCGTTTCAATTCAAGGTAAGGTAAGTTGTTTGGTTGGGGTTGGTTTACGGGGGTAGGTATGGAACATGATTGCCTAGGAAACTACACATCATGTCCCATGAGTTCATGAGCCATGTTGCATTTTTGCTCCTTCCGTCTTAAATTGTTTGTAACATTTCGAAGAAAGTTTAGATATCGTCTTTTTAAAAATTATTTTATTTACAAATGGGTAAAGAATTAAATGTAAAAAAAATATACAGTTCAGAATTACATAAAAGATTTTACAAAACAAGATACGATACGAATATTTGATTTTTATCAAATGAACAATCAAAATGAGCAAACAAATAAAAGTTATCGAGAAAATATATCCAAATTTGTAGTTATCGAGAAAATATACCCAAAAGTTATCGAGAAAATAACCAGTATGACATTTTTTGGGACGAATGAGTAAATAGTTACTAGAAAATATACCCAAATTTGTATCTCAACTTGCACACTAAGACCATGTTCTTTTGGGTTAAAAAAATTAACTTCTAACTTCTAACATCTTTTAACTTTTTTCAGTTCTTTCCAACTCCGTCTAGTTTTTCTAACAACGACTTTAAAAAGTGTTTATATATGATTAGTACGGAGTATCAAATAACTTTATATATCCAAATTTAGAACATATTACCTCAAACAAGAATAATGATGAATTTTTCATCCAAAATTAGAGTTTTCTTACATATTCATTTGGATGATCATTAAATTCATTGATCTTAATACTTAAATAATTGTTTTAACATTTTTCAACTTCTTCTAGTTTTTTCCATCTTCTTCCAGTTTTTTCGAGCTCCTTCAAGTTTCTAACCCAAAATAACAAGAGCTAAATAACAAATATGAGAGATACATAGATAAAAGTTGTATGTGAATTTCACAGCCAATACAGTTATTATCTGTGTATGTGATTTAATTGGTGTACAGATTAACGTACAAACTTGATGTATCTGATCTCTAACACATATCATCTTTTTCTCTTCAAAATTAAGGGTGTGCAAAAACTTTCACGCGACCTTGTTTTAAATTGAACCGACAGTTGTGGACATTACGCAATAGTCAAAGCAATGAGTGTGTAACACTCCAATCCACGTATCCCGAATACATGGGCTAGCGGACCAAGTTGTAACCAGGTTGGTATCCAAACACATCATTCTTCCAAGTCCCATCGTTTTTTAAAATGTACCATGAGGTACCATAAAATATCCAAAAACTTACTTTAGATGTACTTTCATTTTTCCTCCTATTATTATTATGATTATGATTATTATTATTATTATTATTGTTTTTGCTATTATTATTACTATTATCATTACTATTATTAATATTAATATTAATATTCATATTAATATTAATACTCGGACCTTGCCAGAGTGGTCTTGGCTGGGCCTGACCCGGGTCATGGCTTGAGTGCAATACACCCATCAATAGTAATAATAATTATACTCCCTCCGCCCCAGAAAAAATGCCACGTTTACTATTCTGGTCTCTCAATAACTTTTGTTTATTTACTCGTTTTGGTTGACCATTTGATAAAATAAAATATTCTTGTCGCATCTTGTTTTGTAGAGCTTTTCATATATTTTAGATGGTGTAATTTTTTACTTTTTATTACTCTACTAATTTGAAATTAAAGTGATTTTAAAAGAGATGATATTTTGCACGTCGTTCGAAATGTTGCAAATAAATTGGGACAGAGGGAGTAATAATAATAATAATAATAATAAAAGAAGAAGAAGGAGGAGGAGGAAAAAAGAAAGTCCTTCTAGAGTAAGTTTTTGTATTATTTAGGATACCGCGGAGTATTTTTTTTAAAAGATGAAACCTAGAGGTCTACAAAATTAGGGATATCTATCATCAATTTTTGGAAAGAAGATGATGAAAATATAACGATGTAAATGAATATGATGGAGGGATGAACGGAAAGTCTTCCGGAATTAATTTTCAAATATTTTAAGATACCTAGAATATATTTAAAAAAAATGAGAAGACCCTTAACACAAAATCTAAGGTAGCCCGCACTATTTTTTTTTTTTTTTGATTTTTTTGGTGGTGTGTTTCCTTTTTCCCAATTCCCATCATAATCTCCCATTAATCATTCATTCTCTTACAGAAGAGCCATGGAGTCCAGGAGTTGGAGTGTGTTGGCTCTTCTACCCTTTCTTGCCTCCCTTGTTCTCTTCTACTTCGACATCTCCCCAAAGGTTCGAGTCTCAAACCATCGCTCTTTTCCAATTCCATTTATCTCCCTGTGTTTCTATATCTGTTTGGTTTCTACTCGAGGTGCTTGGTTAAGATTCTGTTTTCAGACTTGTGTAAGGTTTTTGATATGAGAGATTACGAGTTTATTATGATAATGTTTGAGGAGCTTTTTTTTTAAATAATTTTTAATAAAAAAAAGTTTTTTTTTTAAATTGTTAAGGATTGACCAAACATCTGTTAGAAATGTTGGAATGGCTGAACTCTTGTTCTCCCAAAATGGTAGGTCGCATGTTCGAACCCGGGCAACTTTGTGCTTCAGTAGGTTGCAAAAATATGTATCTACAGATACTCTATTGTAATATACTTTGTAGTCAATAGCAACTAGAATTCCCACAAAAACAGTGTTTGGGGAGGGTATGTGTACGCAAACCTTACCACTACTCGAAAGTAGGGACATTGTTTCCAAGGGAGGGAGTAGTCAATAGTACTAAAATTTTTAAAAAGAAGTGTTTAGGGAACAGTTTTTTTGGACAGTTTTTAGTCCCAAAAGACGGGTACAAAAAGTTTGTTTCTAAGTGTTATTAGTTCAAAAAGTTGGGTTACAAAAAATTTGTTTCTGAATTTTTTTTGGGAAGTTTGGTGGTCCAAAAGCCACATTACAAAAAGTATGTTTCCAAGTGGTTTGGACAGTTTCTTCAACTCACAACTTTTCACATTAAAAACCATAAACTAACACAAACAACTCACAAAGGATTGACACGAACAAATATCCCAACTTATATATTATTGCATAAATACCAGCCTTTCTTTAAACAAATGATATTATTCAACTTTTTACGGTCTCAGTGTTGCAACTACATAGGATCAGCAATAATTTAATCACATCCATCTTTATGTTGATACATATGGACGTGTAGGGAAACTGATAATAGTGCTTACACCAAGGTTAGTTCGCTAAGCAGAGGCTTTTATTAAAAGGATGAAAGCCAATGTTGAAGACACTATTTTTTTGTTTTTCAATTTAGTCGTAGACTAGTAGATGGATAATAAGTTGAAGGCAAAAGAGGGATTTTATACTAGAGAGGTTCAGAAATGAATGCACACTTGGGGCATCTTTTGATGCCATAATTGAGCACATCTAAGGCCACTGCACCATGCATGGTTACAATTGGTGCAGTGAAAATATATGGCTTGAAAAGTGGCATTCGTTTGTGATGGGCACAAAAATCTTTATAATTTTTTTTATGTTTAATTAGAGTTATTTATTGTCAAAATGTACTTTTGGTGATAGTAAAAAGTCAAATGTAAATATTTTTTTGTGACAGAAGTCGGAAGGAGTATTTTTTAGTCAAAAAAGCTAAACTGCATCATATTTAAGGTAGTGAAGGTTGCTGTTCAAAAATGTTTTTTATGATTTTTTTTGAGAAAATGGACTGGAAATATCAAGTTCATCAGGGACAAAATCCACTAAATTGAGTATTAAAAATTATTTTTCATTTGTCAAATAATATGTACATGCCTAAATCCCTCTAGTCCATACTTGATACTGATATTAAAAAGAATCATACCGGGCATTATATTTGTATCATTTAGTGATGTTTTTTCTGAAAGCGTTGATGTATAACAACCTCTTAAATGGCAACAATATACTTCATATGTCATTTCCTGTTAAGATTCTTTTATGGGGTGCTTTGGAATAGATCTTCCTTATGTTTATGTTATTTAGGCATGTTTCTGACCTTGTCTTTGTCAAGTCAGAGCACAAATATTATGAATCACGTGTCCTATTATTGGCACATTAGTTCTTAAATATTGTTCTTATTCAATTGAAGATAGTGCTATGGGCATAGTCTTGTAAGGCGTAATGTAATGCAATCATATTCACTTTATATTTTCTTTATGTGAAAATCTACATTACCCATTCATTGAGTACATTACATCTTACCAAACTGCACCTTAACTTGTAGCCATCCACAAGCAAGTGCAGTCTTCATTCTAATAGCCATTTTTGGATAGCTAGCAAGCGTATTGTGACACCCAAAGGAACTATTTCTGGTGCAGGTTTGTTCAATCTCTTTATTATTACTATTGTTGTTGTTGTTATTGTTATAATTATGATCATCATCATAATAATTACCATTATTACGTGATTATTATTATTATGGTCATCATCATCATCATCATTATTCCGGAGTATCATCATCATCATTGTGTATGATATATATAACACATTCATTTACAAATAACAAAATCAAGTTCTTTCGTATTATATCTATGAGCTTCCTATTTTTTGAATCTTGGTTTAGTTCATATGTTGTATCATATTGCTTCTCTGCATTCAACGATTAATAGTTGAGGTGAATGGAGGAAGCATCATATCTGTGGTTGATGAAGTAACTTGGCGTGGAATGGTTAAGAGTGTAGATGTAGTTGACTACGGGGAGGCTGTTGTTATGCCTGGTTTGATCGACGTGTGAGATTGCAAGATTATTTTCTTCTACTCACATTCTTATATTTAATAATTTTTTTCCCTGTTATAACTTATAAGATAAGATACTCCCTTGGTTCTCAAATAATTGTCTCTTATACATTTCTACCTACATGAAAAATTGAATGAATGTGAGCATACATTATGCCCATGTTCATTTAAATCTCAATGTATGTAGAAAGTCATAACGGACAATTATTTAAGAACAGAGGGGGTATAAGTTTTTTCTTCATGTTACATTTATGATAGGCATGCACATCTTGATGATCCTGGGAGGACCGAATGGGAAGGTTTTCCTTCTGGGACACGAGCAGCCGCTGCTGGTATGAATGTATCTGCATTATTTTCTCCATACACCCACCCTCCCCACTCCTCAGACCCCGCTTGTGGGGCCTTACCGAGTTGTAGTTATTGATGAAGCTTCCATAGATTATACGGAGTATTTTTCAACACCCGTTCCCTTACAAGCATTTGTATGGTTGATCTTTCGATTCTGTATTCGAGCAAATGTTTTATTGCATCGTGCACATTCCTTTTTTATTTCCCATTTCCCGCTGATGACAGGTGGCTTGACAACATTGATTGACATGCCTCTTAACAGTTTCCCATCAACAGTTTCAGAAGAAACTTTGAAGCTTAAGGTTTGTTTTCCTGTTATTATTTTATAGTCCTTGCTCTAGCATCTCACGTGGGGAATTTAACCCGTAAGAGATGGACCTTCTAACCTTATTGTTAGGTTTTAAGGTAGAGACTCTTACTAGATGCTAATATGTTGTTGGACATGTTTGAATTTAAATTATAAACAACTTTTTCGAAAAGCGACATTAAGGTTGTCAATTTCCAAGTGCTTTTGTGTTTTAGTCATTGTAAAGGCATTAGGCTCCAACCCTAATGCCTACATAATCTCTAACTAGGCATTAGGCCCTAGCCTACCGTCTAGCACTTTGCTCATAAATTTCACTGATAGAATGTGCATGAACAACAGGTTGAGGCTGCTAAAGGGAGAATCTATGTTGACGTGGGTATGACTAGAATTACCACAAAATATTTAATTCAGTATACAGTGTAATGCTATTCTTGTGTGTGTGTGTGTGTGTGTGTGTATCTAAATATAAACAGGTTTCTGGGGAGGTTTGGTTCCAGAAAATGCATTCAATGCAAGTGCTTTGCAGAGTCTCTTAAGTGCTGGAGCCCTTGGCTTGAAGGTAGCTACATTTAGAACTTTAGATCCTTACATTATGTAAAAGTTGGCATCTGATGCCAAACTATCTTTTTCTTCTTTCAAAAACATCACTTTATCATGTTTCAAGTTGGACCGTCCCACGATTCGTTTTTGTTTTTTGCAGTCTTTCATGTGCCCTTCAGGTATCAATGACTTTCCTATGACAAATTCATCCCATATTAAGGTTTGTACTTTGTAGAATATACTCCCATCTTACTATAACATTTTCCAAGTTTTATGTGCTTTGTATGCACCTGGATCTGATCTTCTATTCCCGAACTGTATTTCATATGGTAATTGAAGTGTTGAATGGTCTCCATGTGCTGTGCATTTAACTTGTCATAGTTCTCCGTTTGTCCAAAAATAATCTTCCCATTGCGCGTTACGATGTTTGACTGAAGTTATTTTCAAATTATTTTATATGAAAAATGGTTTGGAATTAAAAAATAAAAATTACATATTTAAAGACTACATCAAAAGATCTATAAAACTAGAGGTGACATAACTATATTATTTTATCAAATGAGCTACGAAAATAGGCCAACAAAGTGAATAATGTTTGACCTTGTGAATAGTGAACGGGAAGATAATTTTTTGACGGAAGGAGTATATTTAACTTGTATCTTCCCTTTATAGATTGACCTTTTGTAATGCAGGAAGGACTAGCTATGCTGGCAAAGTACAAAAGGCCTCTACTTGTACATGCAGAACTGGAACAAGAGCTTGAGATTGAGTTTGACCTTAAAGATGATGCCAGGGATGTTAGATCTTACTCAACATACCTTAAGACAAGGCCTGCATCATGGTAAATTCTTACTGGGTTCACTATTTGAGCATACATGGTTTGCATTAATGGGGCGATTTTGCTGATTTTACTCACAACCACACTTTCTGTCTATTGGGTTTGTATTTTGCCCAAAATGAAACAGGTAATTCTGGTATCTAAATGAGGTTTTAGAAATTACCCTACCCCATTATTAGCACCTTAGTCTTCTGATTTTCAGAAACGCATGATTCTAGAGTCAGAATATACCCTTTTTAAAAAATAGCAAAGCTAGCTACCATATGTTTACCGTGATTTATGTGCTCTTTCTCTATAGGGAAGAAGCCGCAGTCAGAGAGCTCTTAACTATAACAAAAGACACTAGGGATGGTGGGTCTGCTGAGGGTGCTCATCTCCATATTGTTCATTTATCTGATGCAGGTTCTTCTTTACAATTGATTAAGGTATAGCCTAAAAACGATAGAGCTTTTGAGACTATTTTAGAGTATGTAGCAGTCTATATTCCAATCTAAAAGTAGTGTTCTAACAGTGCCATCTCCTGAAACATGTTTACCGAACTACTCGAAGTAGCTTTTCCAGATAGCCAAATAAGCTATAAGCTCTAAAAAAGCTGCTCGCTACACATGCCCATAATCCAATCGCACCAATGAACATAATCAACCATTGAATTACTTTGGACCCTTTGTGCTCAACATCTTTGTTTCTCCATGCACAGTTTCTTGATTGCTAAATTTCATTCAGAAATCCCATTTTTATATCTTGCACCTTTCAGGAAGCGAAAAAGAACGGTGATAGTGTGAGTGTCGAAACCTGCCCACATTATCTAGCTTTTGCCGCTGAAGAAATCCCCTATGGCGATACACGTTTCAAGTGTGCTCCACCTATCCGGGACTCAACCAACAGAGATGAATTATGGGCTGCTCTCTTGGTTATTCCCGTCTCTTGTCATACCACAAAGAATAAATAATCACAAACTGATCTCATTGCTCTCTTGAGTCTTTCCATTTTTTTCTGACCCGAGGCTCGTGTGTTTCAGGATGGAAGCATAGACATGTTAAGCTCAGACCATTCGCCTTCTGAGCCAGCACTTAAGCTCTTAAGAGAGGGAAATTTCTTGAAAGCATGGGGTGGCATATCTTCTTTGCAGGTCTTCACATTCTCTGATGAGCTATATATAGTCCGTCCGGATTTAACTCAAATTTAAAGATGAAAACCAAATGATGAAACTAATCACTGACTCGCCGTGTAAGTGCAGTTTGTTCTTCCTGTAACATGGACATATGGGAAGAAACATGGAGTCACTTTTGAAGAGATGGTTTCATGGTGGAGTGAGAAGCCTGCTAAGCTTGCTGGTCTTAACTCAAAGGTAACATCTAAACTCAAAGGCTTGTTCTCTTCACATGATTTAATTGGTTTTGATCTGGTCTGATCTGATTGTAGTTGTATTTAAAGTTGTTTCTGATATGATCCGATTCCAATTAGAATAAAACATAAGTAATAATAACCTTTGTGTTATGTTGACTTCAAGTCAATATGATACTTTCCGTTTTGAGCAATGCCAGCATAGATTTTCATTTTCATACACTTTCCATAAGGTCTCTTACTGATATAGTTAAAGTGGAACTTATATTCATGTTGATCTTTCATTCATCTTCCGATGTGAGACTAATTTAGGGTTATGCTATAGTTATACCACGGATGACACTAAGGGTGAGACCCTCATAGACAACTGACTGTCTCTGGTGTTGTCAACCTTGGTGTCATTCTTTGGGTGAAAGTAGTATTACTGCATGACCCCGTCCGGTAGCTATTAGAGGCATCGAAAGCCTAAGTGCCTGAATTGACAACGCGTCTATATTGGAGAAGAATCAAACACTAATTTTTATTTACCAATACAGACCAAACATTGAGTTTCAATCTATCGTGCCTAAGCTCATACCTTCTCAACTTCATTCGTACTCCCGAACCGATACCTGAATTTTAACCAAATGGGCCCTTAATCTGTCGAATTTAGATACAAACCAATGCTTGAGTGTGTTTCTGTGCAGGGATCTATTGTTAGCGGCAAAGATGCAGACATTGTAATTTGGCAACCAGAAACGGAATTCGATTTGGATGATAATCATCCTATCCACCTCAAGCATCCTGTATGTATTTCTCCATCTTGTTACTTTAGGGTTTTGTTTGGTAGCTTAATTCAGTTTATTCAACTCACTCCGTCCCATAATAGATTACAATTTGCACAAAGCAGTCCCAATTTTTTCAATTCATTTTATTCAAAGATTACTACCCCCTCCGTCCCTAAAAGATTGCCACACACCCTTTGACCACGAATTAAATACAGTGTAAAATGATTAAATATTATAAAAATTTGATATTTCAATACTATATTTAAAAATAAACCTAATTTTACTAAATTTACATTATAACTAAATACACTTTTTCCATAATTTGCGGTCAAAAGGTGCCACAGTTTGACTAAAAAAGACGGAAGGAGTATAAAAATAAAAAAAACTAAACTTGCGCATTTAAAAATTACATTAAAAGTTCTACAAAACAAGAGTGGCAAGGATATTTTATCTTATCAAATAATCAGTGAAAATGTACAAATAAACTAAAGTTATCGCGATTTTTGAATAACATAGTAGATTAAATTAAGTAGCTCTTGGCACTGTTTGGCAGCTAGGTGTTAGCTGCTTGTGTTTTGAACAGCTGTCCCAAAAAGTTTGAAACCCAAACTTTTTTTAAACTAAGCTCGACAAACAGCTGCCTAAAAGTCAAAAGCTACTCCAAGAAGTTTGGAAACAAAGTTCTTGGCACCAAAAAGCTCTTCCAACCAGACACTTCTAAAAAATGTCCTTTTAGTCTAAAAAGTCACTTTATCACAGAATGTTCTTTACCAAACACGCCTTTGATGTACTCACTTGGTTGAAATAGAAGTTACTAAATGCCTTTCCTTTTAGAAAACTCAGCTGACCAACAAGGTGACATTGTTTTGAAACAAACCATGCAGAGTATCTCTGCATATTTGGGGTCGAGGCTTTCCGGGAAGGTTTTAGCGACATTCGTACGAGGAAATATTGTTTTCCGAGAGGGAAAACATGCCCCCAATGCTTGTGGTGTACCCATTCTTGCAACATAAAGTTGAACACTGCTAAAGTCACCCCAACTCTCACCCCACCTTTCACCCCGACCTTCTAACATACATCAACTGGCATTGAACAATAACATGTGTCTGTGGACGTGTGTTAAAAGGTGGGGTCAAAACGCGGGATGGAAGGTGGGGTACCCATAGCGTGGTCGTATAGTCACAAACTGAATTCTTGCATATTCAAATGACACTTCTTGTGGTAAAAAACTCATTGTTATTTGGGTGGGGGGGGGGGGGGG